CCACATTTCCCACATCTCTCTCTCTCTCTCTCTCTCTCTCTCTCTCTCTCTCACACACACACACACACACACACACACACACACAAATGCACATACATGAGTGTGCACATTCACACCCAACTGTTTAACAGGACCACACAGAGGTCTCAAGAGGCATTTGTCTGCCTCCTCCCCCAACCCCCAGCTGGCCAGACATCTGTCCCTTCAAGCCTAGGGAGGGGTTGTGGTTGGGAAAAATAAGATTGGCTTAGCTCCCCTGGTCACTCTGTGGCTGTGCTGCCCCCTAGCGGAGTTGTTATGAAGTACCCCATCTCACCATCTCCAGCTTGTAAGACCTGGGGATTTTTGTCCCGTCCTCCCTCTTCAGACCTTCTAGAGCAGCCTGTCTTGGCCATGCTGTGTTCGTTCCTGCCACAGGCTGCTGCTTCAGCCTTCAGCAGACTGAGCTCTAGGGTGGAGTGTGCTTTGGTAGGCTCAAGGAGGCCTGGCCAGCAGGTGCCTTCATCTCCTCGAGGACACTGTACTCTCTTCTAGTGCCTCTGTGGACAAAGCCTCGGATGTTACTGAGCTCCTCTTTGGGGACCAGGCCTGACTGTGGTTAGAGCACCTCTCAGACTGCCACAATGCCCATGGCAAGTGGCAGTCACTGAGCATTTTGTAAGCCAGGTGTGCACATTGGTCCCCTCCCTGGCTGGGGGATGCATTTCTGAGGAGCAGTCCTACAGGGATCTTCTCATGGGGGAAACGCACAGTCTCTTCTCAGACCCTTCACAAATGGTCTCCCCAAAGACTCAGCTTAGGGACTCTCTCCTCTCCTCTCCCACTGAGCTGGTGCAATGGGTGAAGAACACTGACCATTCTTGCTGAGGGCCCAGTGCTGTTCCTAGATCCCACATGGTGGCTCACAATCATCTGTCATTCCAATTCCAGGGGATGCAATGACCTCTTTTGGCCTCTGCAGACATCAGGCCCACATGTGATGCACTGACATACATGCACCCAACACACACACACACACACACACACACACACACATAAAACAAGTAAATAATTAAAAAGTAACACAGTAGCAGGGCAGTGGTGGCACACGCCTTTAATCCCAGAATCTCTGTGAGTTCGAGGCCAGTCTGGTCTACAGAGCGAGTTGCAGGACAACTAGGACTACATAGAGAAATCCTGTCTCGAAACAATACCAACAAACAAAACAAAACAAAACAAAACAAATGAACAAAAAAATTGTGATAAATATGTTTGGGTACAAACCTTTTCCTGTGTTTACTTATTTCTAGAAATGGGTTTAGTAAGGCAACAGAGAAGACAAATTGTCTTAGAAATGACCCCATCCCCAGTGGGATGGGAAAGTGGGTTGTGCAGATCCCCAGCTCAGTGGGGAGAGGTGTACTCAGTGGTGGGGGTTGGGAACAGATGGATTCCAGGGCAGTCCATGAGCAGTCAGTCTAGCTAAAACAGTGAACAAGTTTAGTGAGAGACTCTGTCTCAAAAACTAAGGTGGGGCTAGAGAGGCAGATCAGAGGTTAAGGGCACTTGTCCTTGCAGAAGACATGAGTTTGGCTCTCAGTACCTAGCCATAGTGACTCACAACCATCCATGAGTGCAGTTTCAGGAGATTTGATGTCCCGTGCACACAGAGAACATATATATGTGCAAGCAAAACACCATGTATGAACACTCCACAAATACACAAGCATAAACTGTGATTTGTGTACCTGTGTGGGACAAGAATGGAACCCAGGGCCTCACGGAGCCAATGGAGCTACTTCTTAGTCCTGGTCATGTGATTTAGAGAACAGAGTAAGATTTTATCATTCACGTTAATCTTCAGAACTGAGCAGAGATGGAGGCTGCAGTGAGGAACCCAAGCACAAAAGGTCACCAAAGGAAATCTTTAAAAACAAACACAAAAGGGGCTGGAGAGATGGCTCAGGGCACTGGCTGCTGTTACAGAGGGCCCAGGTTCAATACCCACCCAGCACCCACATGACTGCTCACAACTGTAACCTTAGTTCCCGGAGCACACAAGTGGTGTCAGACATACACACAGGCAAACTGATCATATACAGAAAGTAAAATAAAAAATATAAGAAGAGAGATGGTTTCAATTCTAAACACTGAAACTCTAATCCAGTGGGTGCAATACCTCTTCTGTCCTCCAGGGGCACTAGACACACATGTAGTATACAGATACACATGCAGGCCAAGCACCAATACACATACAATTAAATTAAAACACACATACAATAAGATCCTACTGGGTTTTTCTCAGCCAACTCTCTTTGACATCTTTCTACATCAATATAGACATGCTATGGCTGAATAGTATTTTGGGGAGGGGGATAGTTTCTGGAGACAGGGTTTCTCTGTAGCTCTAAATGAAACCTGTCCTGGAACTCACAGAGATCCTCCTGCCTCTGTCTCCGGGTGTGCTGGGATTAAAGTCTTGCACCACCACCGCCTGACTGCAGTGTTGTTTTGTTGTTTTGAGGCTACATACACACACGAAAGCTTTGTTATTTAGAATTGTGGTTGTGGTTATGATTCAATTGATCGATAGAACATTTGCACTCATAAACAAGGTGTGAAAAGACATGCCTGTAATGCCAGCATTTAAGAAACATGGGTAGGGGGGATCAGGAGTTTAAGGGTGTCCTTGGGCACATTTGGAATTTGAGGGTAGCCTGGGTTACCTGAGACCCCATCTCAAATGCGTGTGAGTGCATGTTTACATGTGTGTGTATCTATAAGATAGGAGTTGGCATAAAGATGTGAGGAAAAAAATGTTTCTTCTAATGGTGGCTGTGAAAATTATCCCTTCTCTTCTGCTGGCATCTGCCCGCAGTCCCCCATTACTCACACGCTGATGTCTACATTCTGTATCTTGGAACAGCAGTTTTAATCACAGTGGTTCTCAACCTGTGGGTTGCAACCCCTTTGGAGATTGGACAACACTTTCACAGGGGTCAAAATAGTAATGGAAATAATGTTATGGTTGGGGGGTCACCACAACACAGGGAACTATATTGAAGGGTCACAGCATTAGGAAGGTTTATTGGGTCTCACTGTGTCTGCTGGTTTTTTTATGGTCCTCAGGATGGCCTACAATAGCCACACTTGGAGCCAAAGGGAAAGGCATCGTTGAGCTGGAGGCAAACAAACATCCAGTAGAAACTGAGAAAACCCCATGATGCACCCAGCTGGAGCTCCCAAGAGTCCCAGGCTGAGCAGAGTGTCCACTCTGGTGAGGTTGCCAAGTCAAAGAACAAATAGCAACCATAGAGATGACATCAGCAAATCTGAGACAACATCACCAGAAGCCAATTGGGGGAGATGAGCCAGCTGAGTTCCTGAATGAATTTTTCTCTCCATGGATGAACTTACGCTGACTAGTTTTATGTCAACTTGACACAAGCTGAAGTCATCAGAGGAGGGGATCTCAATTAAGAAAATGCCTCCACAGGGCATTTTTAAAATTAGTGATTGATGGACAAGGGCCCAAACCGTTGTGGGTAGTGCCATCCCTGGGTTCTAGAAGAAAGCAGACTGAGCAAGATACAGGGAGCAAGCCAGTAAGCAGCATCCCTCTCTGGCCTCTGCATCAGCTCCTGCCTCCAGGGTCCTGCCCTGTTTGAGCTTCTGCCCTGACTCCCTTTAGGGATGGACAGTAAAAAGGAAATCCAGGCCAAATAAACCCTTTCCTCCCCATGTTGCTTTGGTCGTGGTGTTCATCACAGCAAAGGTTAAAATCTTACTTCTCTTCCCCTCAGGCACTTTTACACCACGGGACAAGGGCTGTTTCCTGTTCTCTTCACTGAGCTGCATGCCAGGACCCCGTGGGTAGACTGGATGGTGAGATTATCATTGGATCCCTTTGTCCCCTTCCTAATGTGGCCACATTGAGCCACTCTCCTTTTTCCACATTTTTACTATTATTAATTTTTTTTCTTTTTTGGTTTTTCTAGACAGTGTTTCTCTGTGCAGCCCTGGTTGTCCTGGAACTGGCTCTGTAGACCAGGCTGGTCTAGAACTCAGAGACCTGCCTGCCTCTGCCTCCAGAAGTGCTGGGATTAAAGGTGTGTGCTACCACTGCCTGGATAATTGGTTTTTTTAAAAAGGTTTATTGAAGGTGACTGTCTAGGATCGAGGAAAGAGCTTTGCCCCTGATAAATCCACTAACAATATCACCGACAGACAGGGACAAAGGAGGAGCTGGGAATGTTCCTTCCGCTCTACACTCCTGGACTGTGGAATGGGAACAGAAGTGGGGAATGGGGGAAGGGTGAGTCTCCGGCGCTAATCTCAGCTTCCTGCCGGGATTGTTTTAACTGCTGCTGGGGCCTGTCTTCGGATGTCACAGCTGCGGAAATAGATCTCTCCTCTTCACCTGTTCCTAAGCAATAGTCGCTTCTCTAACTTCCTGTCAGAAGAACACGCGTTGGAAACACAAGACGGTGGTGCCGGCTGGAGGACTGAATGCTCGCTCACCTTCCCCTCCGCTGAGCGCGCAGTGCGCCATTCAGCTTTTGAAGAACTGAGCGAAATAGCGGGGAATATATAAAGAGCCCCGTGCATTCAGGGCCAGAGCCACAGCCTGTTCTGTGAATTTGCCCAGTGTCTGCCCGGGGCGGGGGGAGGGGGCTCCAGAAACCACTGGGTCATTAGCACTCCTTTCTCCAAAGAGTGACTGACAGAGTGACAGTGAGTGGCTTCTCTGCCCTCCTTACTTGCCTCCCACACTCATGTCAGGTTCTATACAATTTTCTATTCCTGTGGGACCAGGGAACCAAATCACCTTATCTTCTCACCCAACAAGCGTGGTTCCCCCCCAGAGCTAGTATCAGCACCAGGAGAAGTAGGACCAAAGTCTGGGGAACCCCCCACAGGGGCCCGAAGGCGGATCTCCGGAAGAGAGACCTGAGCCTCAGAATCTCAAAAGACCCCGCAGTCCGGAAGAAGAGGAGGGCCAGGGCTGTTGCCCAGGCACCAGGCATCCTACGATGGGCGGGTCACTGTACTCCTGGGGAGGAGCCTCCCCAGCGTCCCCAGAGCTGCCAAGGTAACGGACCTGCGAGGCCATGGCCTCCCTCGGGAGTGGAAGCTGGAGTGGCGTCCCATCTCAGAGTGCAGCCCCTACGGTGAGGCCTGAGCCCAGGAGCACAGACAGTTTTGAATGGGAGGTGGGGCGGGACGGCGGAGCTGGGATGGAGGTAAACTCTGGGCCACATATGGGGTGAAGAGAGGGGAGGTCCCGAACCAAGAGGAAGAAACTGAACTGGGAGGAGGAATGCCATGAGGGGGAAGTGTAGGGGGCTCCTGGCATGCCTCACCCCTCTTCTGCCTTGATGGCTGAGTCTCCCCACCCATGTCCCCAGCCCTGGGTGACCATCTTGCAGCCTTTTCCTTCGACTGCCCCATCTCCTCTGCCCCAGCCTAGCCGCGTCAAGGAAGGTAACTTTCCCGGGTCGCTCTCCTGACTCCCCTCCGCCAGCCACACATACTTGGGGCCCCCTCCTTGATCTGGTTACATCCTGTATCAGTGCTGTAGGGTGGGAGGGACAGGGACTGTGTGCAGGCCGCCGGGTGGGCCCTGTTGGAACCTGTTCGCAGACCTGCTGGAGCTCATGATGCTGCAGAATGCGCAAATGCACCAGCTGCTGCTGAGTCAAATGGTGTCTGGAGCCCTGAGCCCAGGGCCGGAGTGGCCCTGCCCACAGGTGTGTGAAGTGGGGCCCAGGGTGGAGCTCTATGGGGGGGGGGCCACCTGAAGAAAAAAGAGCACAGAGTAGCAGCAGGAAGCTAGCCACATCCCTGTCTGACTGAGTTCCTTTGGCATCTACTGCGTGTCAAGGCGTGGCGTCAACTTCTAATAGGAAGGGAGTTACCAAGTCTCCACTGCCACCCAAATGCTGTTTCCAAGGTTTTCCTTCGCGACATTTCTCTGTGTCCATCAGGCCCCAGGAACCCTTCTTAGGGGCTCAGCTGCTATTTGTCAAAGAAATGGGCAAGGCAATGACTAGGTAGGCTGTGACAAGCCTTGTGGAAAAGTGGTATATGTACACACCAGGGAAGGGGGGAGGGAGGGAGGGGAGGAGGGCGGGAAGGAGGGCGAGTCCTTGGGGGACTGCAGGTGGCCTTGAGAACCAGGTAGGATTTCTGACCCAGGATGGAGGGAGAAAGGGATATGAGGTCTGAAAACAGAGGACCCCGTGGAAAGGGGGGCTCTAGGAGGCCTGGAGGGGTTCAAGAAGGGGCTAATTGGGGAGTCTAGGGAGGTGGAGATCCTGAGTTAGGGGTTATACCCCTAAGCCCTCTGAGGTCCTGAGGTGAGCATCTTTTCCTCTTGGGAGGGGGGAGCAGAAAAATGCAGGAAAAGGCAGACTCAAGGGCTTCCAGTACCCACTCTGGAGTCACTGGGATTTTCCCAGCCAGGCCCGGGTAACCTCTTGTTAGCTCCCGAGGCTCTTACATGAGTTGCTTCCCCTCTCAGAGACTCCCTTCTCTTCTGCAGAGTGATGGGTTGGCCTTGCCTGCCCCCAGCGGAAGCTCAGCAAACAGTAGCCTTTCTGCTAAGGACTATGTGCAGAAACTAGTCAGAAAGTAGTAGAGGGCGCGGAGAGGGAGGTGGAGGAGGCGGGGCAGTGGGGCAGGGAGGGTGTGGCCCGTGCCACCCCCCCCACACACACCCTGCACACCCCCAGGTCTATACAGACAGCCAAGGGGAGCAGGTGGAGGAAGAGATGGGCGCGCAGGAGCCAGAACAAGCGTCTGCGGTGTTTCATCACCTCTATCTACCGTGTCCGGTGACTTCCTTGGGTCCCATGACTCTCTGGCCAGCCCCTTTCCTCCATGTTCCCCCACATCAGCCTCCCTGGCAGGGTGCACCCAGGACTCAGCATCAGCCCCCTGCCTCCAGGCAAGGGGAGGTGTAAGTGAGGCTGGAGGGGTTTGGGTTTGGCCAGGTCCCTGATCTAGGCTGGCTTGGGGGGTAAAGCCACCCTGGGCCTCTGACAGGGTCCTCTCTCTCTCTCTCCCATCTCAGGAGAGATGTTCCCCCGCCCCCACCCCCCAGTGCCACAGGGACTGTTGGTGCAGATGTACCCCCAGCTTCAGGTAGGGGCTGGGTGAGTGGCGGTAGGGCCTGGCCTGGGGCACACTGAGATGTCAGAAGGGCCATGTGCCCGGTGGATGGGGGCTCCCGGCAACCACTGCCTTATCCCGTTCCGTCTTCCTCCTTGGGGTTTACCAAGGCAGGAAGGAGCAAGCCCAGGATTCTGTCCCCCTAGATTACTACGATGCTGAGAGCCTGCCATGAAGACAGATATTCACCAGGCTTCAGCAGCTACTGCACGGGGCTGCCAGAGCGACCCCACACCCATGCCAGAGCCCCTCTTACCACTCAAGCCCTTTCCCCTGGGGCATCAGGCTCTCTACTCTGATGCTCTCTTGAGCTGGCTCTTCTAGAGTGAAAATTCCTCAAAGTCCCTCTCTGACTCAGAAGCCATGTAAACCCATTGATCCACTGTTTCCTGCCTGGACCGGAGTAAGGCCCTGATACCAGAGACACACCCAGTTGGTCTTTGCCCCTCTCTTCACTTGGGCCTGCAATAGGGCTCATGTCTCCAAGTGCCTTAAGGCCCCTGGAAGGCAGCATGCTTGGGGAGAAGGCCAGCTCGGGACATCCCTACAGCGGACTCAGCTTCTTTCACTGGACTCTGTTGGCAGAAAGGACAGCCAGAGCCCTGTCCTGACTCAACCAGGAACAGCCTGGAATCCCCAGGGCCATGTGCAAACAGAATGTCCTCCTCCTCATGGGACCTCAGTAGGAAACCGATTGCTAAGGATGGGTAGATGTCTGGAGCCTGGGCTGCAGAGGTTCTGGAAAGCCCTGGGGAAGAGCAGGGGGGTGGGGAGAATTGAGGGGCCTGGGTGAGCAGGTAACACTTAGTACCTTGCTTGTCACAGGTGGTGTCTCTTATCCCAGGAGCAGACAGGGAGGGCACAGGGTGAAATCCAGGTACTTGTATTGAAGCTAGAAAGGGAAACGTCCCCAGAGTCTTGTGCCGCTGCCACAGTCCTCAGCTGGACCACACCCTGAAGGCCCCATTTGAGTTCCAGTAGCCACCAGGGCCCTAGCAACACCAGCTCACATGGGGCGTTGCCGAAAGGCTCTGGGCAGCCTCCTCCAGGCAGCTAGCACCCCATAGGTGCCTGTCCGCCTCCTGTGCCAGTGCTGACCGAGGACAAAGCAGAGTAGGACGGATGTCACAAATAAGAACAGCAGTATTGACACCACTACGATTATGATGACCATCTGGTTGTCCTGTACAGGCTCTGGGGAGGGAAAAGGCAATAGACTTAGAGATTTTCAGATGCCAGGCACCCCAGGGAGTCCACCCATTACCCCTTGCCCATCATGCATTCCACAGTCAGCCTCGTAACAGAGAGCGGTGGCATAAGGTGTCTGCCCACAGTGTGACGTCTAAGAGGAAGGTGGCTTATTCTCCAGGCCATAAGGCAGAGCAGATACCCTTCCTCCAGCACCTCCAGCAGACCAGTATGTAGAGTGTGGATACCACGGTGGTGGGGAATATTAGCCAAAGATGTATTACATCTGTTTATGCTGTGGAATACTTGTTTAATGATGCAAAGATGTGTTGCTACATTTTATATCACATTTGTTTAACTCTGTGAAGCTGTTACTTTGCATGTCTAAAACATCTGACTGGTCTAATAAAGAGCTGAACAGCCAATAACCATGCAGGAGAGAGGGTAGGCGGAGCTGCCAGGGGGAGAGAATAAATGGAAAGAGAAAAAGAAAAGGAGGAGGATTGAGTAAAGGAGAGGAGAATGTCAGGGTCAGCCACACAGCCAGACACCGAGTAAGAAGGAAAGAAAAGATATACAGAAATAAAGAAAGGTAAAAGCCCAGAGACAAAAGGTAGACGGGACAATTTAAGTTAAAAACAAGCCAAGTGTGGGTGTCGTAGGCCTTTAATCCCAGCACTCGGGAGGCAGAGGCAGGAGGATCTCTGTGAGTTCAAGGCCAGCCTGGTCTACAGAGCAAGTTCCAGGACAGGCTCCAAAGCAATATAGAGAAATCCTGTCTCAAAAAGCAAAACAACTACAAAAACAACAATAACAATAAAAAAGCTAGCCAGGGGCTGGAGAGATGGCTCAGCAGTTAAGGGCACTGACTGCTCTTCCTGAGGACCTGGGTTCAAATCCCAGCACCCACATGTAATGCAACACTGCAACTCCAAGATGTGACACTCTCCACAGATTCACTTGCAGGCAAAACACTAATGCATATAAAATAAAAGTAAATAAATATTTAAAAAAGAAAGAAAAGCGTCTAGATTTTTTGGGAGCTGGGTGGCAGGCCCCCAAAGAGAGAAGAGTAAAAAAACAGAAACAATAAAACAACACCATGGCCCGGACACCATGGCCCAGGGGATGTCACAGTCATATTTATACCATGTCCCTTCTCAGGCAGAGCTGAGCGAGCTGCAAGCAAGCTCATTTACAACAGGCTTTGGCCACCAAGTGTCACAGGGAAACCTGTGGGTCAGGCCAGCCAGCCTTCTCATTGTAGAAAGGGGCCATAGCTACTGAGAGCTCACTGCCATGGTCAAGGTTACACAATGCTCAACAACGGCCCAGCCACCAGCTGAGCTTCTCCTAGCTTCTGGAGAAGTTAGAGCTCAGCTTGGAACCTGGAGAGAAAGCTGGCGAATTAGGAAGTAAGAGAGAGCCCTCAAGATTCGACATGCACATCAAGCCACCTAAGAGTTTTCTCTTCTAAGGGTCTTCTTGCCCCATGGTGCCGAGAAGGATGCCGCCTTTGCCCTCTCAGCCCAGAGTCTCCTTACCGAAGACTTCGAGGATCTGGGACTCTGAGATGCTGCGGATGATATACCCGCCGTGGGGCCGCAGGTCCAGCTCAGCCTGGCAGGAGAAGTTGTGGCCATCCTTTGTTAGAGCTGTGCTGTTGAATCTGACGGTGGCCTCAGGTTCAGCTCCCCCAAATGTCTGGTTCTGCAAGGTCTCTCTGCCACGGAGCACTGTGAGGGTGAGGCTCTTGAGGGGCTTCACAGCCAATGCTGTGCACTCAATGGTGAAGGCGTCACCCATAATCACTTGAGGAGGCTGCAGCCTCAGGGTGACCTCAGCTGGACGCTCTGTAGGAGACAAAGAAGGAAGGTCACTCAGGATGGAGCTATATCCCTGCGGGCCCAACCTGGTACCCTGACATCTGGTAACCCAGGTTCCTAGCTGGACCTGAGAGGGAGGAAGTGAGCTGGGGCTTGGCCTGCTCATTGGAAGGAGGAGGAAGAAGAAATGTATGATGGAGGATGTCCCAGCTGCGAATTCTGTGGGCATGATTTGGAAAATAGAAAGGGGGTCTACAAAGAGGAGATCCAGAGATCATAGACCCAAATAGGAGGCTAAAAAAAAAAGCAAACCAAAACATCTGGACCTGTCTCCATCCCCTCCAGATACTAAGCACGCATTTTCCAATTAACCAGCGGGGTGGCTGTGCTATGAGCATTTGGAAGGGGGCACCTATGCACGTGGGAACCCGAGGAGCTCCCTGAGCCCCCTTGTAAAGCTGGGGCAGGAGTAGGCTTTGCCTCACTTCTCCAGTCAGGTTCATGACCAGTGCAACTCCAGATCACTGAATAAGGACTATGGCGGTACCCTGGTTCCCTTTTAAATGCCACTCAACCCCACTCCACCTAGGACTTTGAACAACTTTGCATTTTTTGATGCATCAGTGTTGGTAACGGGTTGCGGTGAAACAGCTGGAGCTAAGATGCTGAGAGAGCCCTGGCTTATGCTGGCACATTTGCTACGGGCCCTGGGGGGTGGGGGAGGGGCACAAAATACCGCGTGGCACCTCCACTTTCTCCAAACCATTCTCTAGTAGCTCCTTCACCTCCTGAAGCCCATTAGCTAGCATCACACTGCCTGTGGAGCGCTCTGGTGGCTGAACTCACTTCTAGATCTGTGCAAACCTGGGCTGGACCGACCTTCTTGGAGCAAGATTCAAAACCTCCACAGTCTGCTTCTGGGGTGTAGGCAGAGCCTGAGCCCTCGGGCCTGACCTGCTTGTGGCTCGGGAGCCCGGGGAGATGTGGACCATGCATAGACACTCACGGAAGACTGTGATGTTGAGGTGCTCTGAGCGCTGCTGCCCGGCACAGGTAAAGTGGCAGATGAGTTTGGCGTCACTGGAGATATTTGAAACTAAGAACTGCTTCCACTTCCCTTGAGGGTGCTCTTCCAACGTTTTCTTGTCCATGGTGGTCTCCAGACCGCCCACTTTCGGGTTCTCACAGTTGGTGCTACAGTTGACTTTCCAAGACTCCCAGGCTTCTACTACCTGCTTCTCCGACCATATATAGACATCAAAGGCCTTCTCACCGGACCCTGGAAGACCAGAAGAGATACCAGGCAGTGGATGCCTCTGACTCCTGCCTGCCCTTGGGATCTCTACTACCAGCGGTTGTAATTAAGGCTCAAGAAGACAGGTCACCTTTAGTCCCTCTGCCCCATTCCTGGGGCAGGGCCTATAGAGAGGCCCAGTGACTCCCTGTGTTCTTTCCTCCAGTCCCTCTGTCTGTCTGTCAACGCTGGGTCAGTTTTCCTCAAGCCTGTCTCTGACTGCCTTAAGCTCCAGCTCAAAATTCCTTCTGTCACAAAGACACCTCCGAGAACAGAAGGAAGCTCTGAGCTCCCACAGTCATGGAGAACTCCCAGGATGCCCTTTGGGTAGTGGTAAGCTCTGGGGAGATGGAGGGGAGGTAATGGATGGACTCTTTTTTTTTTTTTTTTTTTTTTTTTTTGAGCCAGAGTTCCTCTGGGTAACAGCCTTGCCTGTCCTGGAACTCACTCTGTAGACCAGGCTGGCCTGGAACTCACAGAGATCCACCTGCCTCTGCCTCCCGAGTGCTGGGATTGAAGGTGTGCGCCACCATTGTCCAGAGTGACTCCATTTTTAATAACATGGTTAATAAAAGATAATTATAATGGCCTTGGGGCAAATATGGAGGGAGGTAGTGAACCTTGCCTGTGTTGTGGGAGCATGTTCCAGATAAAGGGAACTGACTGCTGGCTCGCAGACCTGCCATTTGGGGGCATGCTCTCTTGAAGCAATGCAGAGGGAGAATGGCAGGAGCTTAGCTTGGAAGAGGAATGTTAGCACCAAAGGCCAGGAAAGCAACAGGCTACCGTGAAAAGGACACATTGCACTAATGACTCATAATTTATGCTGAAGCTCTGTAGACATTTTGAAGCTTCTAGAAGACTGGGCCTGAGTTTCGCACGTTTCTCTTTATGCTGACCACACAGCCCTGTGCAAGACAGACATTTGCAAAGTGTCTGGTATTTGAAGATGAGACCCTCAGTGCTCACTGTGAGGTGAGATGGAGTCCTCTGTGAAGGTCCTAGGTCCTACACATGGCCCATGCTTGCTACCTCCCTACACAGCTCACTCAGCCATCAGCTAGTGGTATGTAAGTAAGTGGCAAAGGAGGGCTTTCCACGAAGACAGTGCTGGATTTGAACTCAACATTCGCCATGCACTGGCTGGGTGGCCTCGGGTTAGATGCATTCTCTCTATGAACCCCAGTTTCTTCATCTGTTAAGAGGGCTAATGTGCCCTCCCCTGGGCCCTGAGTGCAAGTAGGCTTGAAAGTGTTTGGCACTTACACTTGAAAGTGTAAGGCACTCGGGTCTCCTTGACCCACCTAAAAGGGTTTCATTTCCATTCTGTTGTCCTAGTGAGTGCAATGTCTCTGCTGCCCTCTGCTGTTCACTATGCCCCTTTGGCACATTGTCTTGTCTTCCCTTAGACCCCAGCATCCCTTCCCGAGACCCCTATTAACCCCCTACTCACCATCCAACCTTGGTAGCCTACCATATCAACATTCTCAGAGCCCTGGGCTGGTTCCATCCAGTAACCAGGAGGCCATGATCCTAGCCACTGCCTGAGGCCATGGAAAACCAAAGCCAGGCTGTCACAGTCTTCTGTATCCATGGTGGAGAGGCCCCTGTGGCCAGGATGCCCGCCTCCTCAACATGAAGTCCGAGGAACAGTATGGAACTCTCCACCCTAAGATGCCACGTGCTGGGAACCCTGGGGCCGCTTACCTGGGCAGCAGAGCAGGGCAAGAAGTGTTATAGGCAGGCTCCGGCAAGCAAAAGAAGGCATCTCAGGTGGGGTCTGTGGGGTCTGTGGGCTCCAGGAGCACAGCTGACCGCTGCCTGGAGGGAGATGGAAAGATGGACACTACAGATTGGGGAGTGAAGGCTGGCGCTCTGGACTGAAATCCGTAGTCTCTGCACCAATGATCTCATTTCCTCTCATTATCTGAGATCAGGAAGCCATATACACAGGCCAGCTCCCAAGCCTTCAGGCCCTCAAGAATTCAGGCAGAGGAAACCGGGAAGCAGCTGATAAGCAAGGGTATAACATGGACCTCCCACGTGTCTTGCTCCCTGTGAAGGGTTAGGAGAGTAATGAGAGCTAATGTTCAGGGAAGTGTGTGTGGCGCATGGGAGAGCACGTGTGTATGCACTTACGTGTGTGTGCGCGCACACACACACACACACACACACACACATGTGTATACACATGTGCACATGGTATTCCTATTTCTGTGCATGAGCAGAGTGAAGCTCAGATCTGAGGCGCCCCGAATCCCACCAGGCCTCTGCCGTAGTCATCTCTGGAAAGATAATATCCAAAGTCAGAACAGCGTCATGTAGCAAGCCCCTGCTAACACCCTGCATGTGTCTGCACACCTTAATGCCTTGCTTAGTTTCTAGGAGAAGCCTAGCCCTAACTCAGTCAATGCAGGGCCCACATAGGACTCAGAGATTGCAAAAGGGCAGCCCCCAATGGTCTCCAGTGGCCCAGGCCCCGGAAGTCAGGGAACAGACTGGCTACAGCCTATTCCCAAATCCTAGGCTCTTTGCTAGACTTGTCAGTTACTGCCATCTTGCCTATCTATCTTCCAGGCAGGGCCTCGGCCTGGGAAGCTTAGAGCCCAGTGCCCGCCAGGCATGCTTTCCCATAGGCAGTTAGCTTTTAGGGATAGAGGGCCTTCTCAGGCTCCTCCAGGACAGGTGGGGCACCTCGATTTCTTGGTGGAATCCCAGAAAGGGCCTATCTGAAGGTAGTCCCAGGGTTTTGAGAGCTCATTATCTGAGACCAGGAAGCCAGCTCCCAGACCAAGTCAAGTGGAGGAAGCTTCAATGGCTCAACCAGTGTCCTGTGTTCCCGGGTTGGAGAGTGCTATGGCATCCTGCCATTCTCACAGTGCTGAGTACTGGCTGCTGGGTATAGCTAGCTAGCAGCTGTTATCAGTGTGGATCCAGGGGTGTCCCTGCATGAAGCCGCCGGGCTTTGGGATCATGCCAGAGAGGAGGGGCAGACAGAGTAACAGGGAAGAGGGAGAAGAGGAGGGGCCGGGGGTCTGATCTCATATGAGGCTGACACACTGCAGGACCCAGGGGACAGGCCAGCTGGAAGGGTCTGGGTGACACAGGGGGTCATAAGAACAACAACAGTAGTGGAGATAATAGCAAGCAACAGCAACAGACAGACATGACTTAGGAAGGGAACATGTTTTTCTTTCATCTTGGGGATGCTGGTGACTGAGATGCCATGGCTTCATCCGTGCTAGGCCAGTGCTCCGGGATGCATCCCTAGTAGTCTTGTGTGCTTTTCATCTGGAGACAGGGTCTAAGTGGTCTGAGAAATTCGTCATGGGGCAGTTTGTGCTTGTGTGAGCATTATAGTGTGTCCACACAAACCTAGACGGTACACGGTAGATACTACATACCTCATGTACATATCTGTGCATGCTGTGCTTGAACACAACGGCAGTACAGTAGTTTGGCACTGATGTCACCAGGGATCTGGGAGCCATGCATTGAATACGGTGTTAGGGTGGCTATGATGTCTCTAGGTGGGATGACTTTTCTAACTTCGGTGTCATTTTCTGGGACCCCTGTTGTACGCGTGGCTTGCCACTAATTGCAATGTCTTGGGGCATGTGGCTGTACCCACTTCATGCTGGTCACTGTCGAGACACTCTGTAATTGTTAACTAATTTCTCCTAAACTCTACAAGCTCAAGTACTCCTACTGAACTCATCCCCTAGGAGAAACTGAGACACAGACAGGCTGAGTGGCTTGGTCAAGGTTACATACCTAGGTAAGAGAGAAGTCCCTATGGGGCAGGCAGCTGTGGCAGCTGATGAAGGCCACCAGAGCAGGGGCAAAGGAAGCCACCGTGAGGGTCAGATTCCCCAGAGACCCTTGGGAGGGACATGCAAGACAGCAGGAGGCCAGAGAAAACTTCCTGACAAGGCTCAAAAAGAAAGCAAATCGCCATCACCAGAGCAACTGTGGAAACATAGCAGGGTCATAAAAAGGCCAGCACAACAGAAAGGAGAAGGGAGGTGGCCAGGGGCTGGGAAGGGAAGTGGGAGTTTTCCTAGGGGGTGTTTCATTTTGTAAGATCCCAAGATTAGTTTTGGAACAATGTGAACATGCTTGGCTGAAAATAAATAAACAAATGGGCACACAGTACATTTTATATGTATAGCACCAAAATTAAAACAAACAAACAAAAAAAAACAAAACAAACAAACAAAAAATAAGCCAGGTGGTGGTGGTGGCCCATGCCTTTAATTCCAGCGCTTGGGAGGCAGAGAGAGGCAGGTGAATCTCTGAGTTCAAGACCAGCTTGATCCAAGACAACCAGGTCTACACAGAGATACCCGGTGTAAAAAACAAACAAATAAAAGCCTGGTGTGCTGGCTCAATTGTATAATTCTAGTGCCACATAGATGCTGAGATTGGTGGACAGTGACTTTGGAGCCAATTTGGGCTACTTTCAACCCCTTTGCCCATAAAATAATGTATGGCGTAAAATTTGGAACAAAGTGAACCAAATCTCAGAAAAAACTACCTTTTCAGACTTAATTTGAGATGAAATAAGACATCTGAGTGGGGCTGCTGAGATGGCTCTTTCAGGGGGCAGATAGATAAGCTCTTGTCACCAAGGCTGATAAGCTGAATCTGATCCCTGGAACCCATGTGGTAGGAAAGATCTGATTGCCACAAGCTGTCCTCGACGTCTGTATGTGTACCGGGGCATGCGCATGCCCCCTAAGATAAAATGTAATAAAATATAAAAGAACGATTGTAGTGGTCTTGCAGTGAACTTGTAGCGGTGGCTGCACCCCTTTGGGTGTGGCCTCAGGCAGATTGAAGCAGACAGAGGGAAGCTTGAGGCGTGGCTTTCCTTTGCTCCTTCCTTTCTGATGGGTCAGCTGATCAGGTAGGAAGGGCAGAGAAACATTCCTGTGGTTCCTCGTATTTTTCTGTTTAATTGTTCCCCGATAAATACCCATTATTATTTATCTTGGGTCCTAGTGAAACAATTAAGTTCTCGCCTTCAAATGATAATTACCTTCTCCACTGATGGGCAGACTCAGTGAAATTCCAGTTAATCCCAGTAAGGCTGTTCGTGGGACTCGAGAGCTGCTCATAAAGAGTTTGTGGAAAAGATAAAAGGATCAAGACACATGGGAAGAGTAAGATGGGCAATTTGCTCTTTGAATATTGGGATTTAGTATAAAATATTAATAAGGGGGTAGGGAGATTAATTAGTGGGTCCTAGTTTCTAGACCCTAGAACCACAATGGTGACACTGTGGATGACTGGGTCAACTGATTAACCAGATGAGGAGGGGGTGATAACCCCACATCACATCAATTGGAGAACTCAATTCCATTCACAGTGAGTAATTATGTGTGAAAGAAAACTCTAGGGACATTGACAAAAAATATAGGAGGGTATTATGTCATCGGGGTAAGGTATTAGTCAAGTCTTCAAAACTTTCAATCATAAACAAGGGGGCTAGAGCTGTAGCTCAATGGGTAGAACACTTCCCTGGCATGCACGGGTTCTGGGTTCTATCCCAGCACTGAAAAATAAACAAACCATTGATAACTGAGTGCATCAAATTCACAAAGGAGTGTCAAAGGAAAGAGGCCACTACTCTTAACTCAGTAGTAGCCAGGAGATTAAGATGAAAACCACATCTACTAAGTTGGCAGAGGTTAAGATATAGAAAGGTCAATTTTTGGGGAAGTTACAGGTCAATAGCAACTTTTACAATTACTAATGGGAGAGTATATTGGTTCCCCAGGGAACAACAAAATGTTATCTTGTAGAGCTGAGTAAGAACTGACTTACTTTATTTGGTATTTTTATGTGTTTGTGACCAGAAGGGAATGTGGAATGTCCTAGAGTTAAGGTGGCTGTGAGCCATCAGCAGAGAGAGGGAAGGGATGCCCATCCTCTGCGTCCTCTGCGAGAGCGACAAGCACTCTTGACCACTGAGCCATCTCTCCAGCCCTGAGCTAAGCAGCTTCCTCCCTGTAAGGCACAGTTCTTCTCTTAGATATGTGCATGTCCTGGGAGAGCTTTTGTGCCAAGACTCAGGAAACATATATGACCTTAGGCAAATCATTCAATCTCTTTATGCTAGCACTCCCTCATCTGTAAAATGGGATTCATGACAACATCTCCTTCATAGAATTGTTGTGTGAATTAAATGAGTCAATCTTTCCTCCTTGAGACAAAGTCTTCAGTAGTTCAGGCTGGCGTCAAATTCAATTTTTGGCTGAGGCTGGCCTTGAACTCCCGACCTTCTCTTCTCTCTTTACCACCCAAGTGCTAGGATTTGAGGCAGCTGCCACCACATCTGGCTTAAATGAAGATGTTTTAAGGGATCTGGAATGCTAGGCACTGTGTAATCATCTCACAAAATAAAAATAAGCATGTTTGTATGACTGAACACTTCAGAGAGGAAACTAACACCAAATTCTAGCGAGTGGGTGAAGAGCATGTGGCTCCTGAGGAGCTAAGTCCACGAGAGCTTTAGTGACATTTCTGTGCTCTCTGGTGACAGGTATGTCACAGGCCGCCTCTCACACGTCACATGTTCAATTTTATAAAAACACAAAGGGGAAAGAAGAGAGGAGGCTTGGTGGGAATGTGGACCACAGCGTTAACAGCTCCTGTCACTGACTGGCATGGTTCTCAGGGAGAGAGGGAACTGGCTGGGTGGCAGTGGTGGCGCACACCTTTAATCCCGGGAGGCCGAGGCAGGCGGATCTCTGAGTTCAAGGCCAGCCTGGTCTAGAGCGAGTTCCAGGACAGCCAGGGCTATCTCAAAAAACTGAGAGAGAGAAAGGAGAGAGGAAAGAAGGAGAGGGAAAAGGAGAGGGAAGCAGGGGAGGGGAAGGGGGAGGGAGAAGCAGGATTGTCCCTTTCCAGGTCACATCCCATGCGGACCTGGGGCTAAGACAGTCA